TGTCAAATTAATTGAGTCTGGTGTGTGTGTGTGTGTGTGTGTGTGTGTGTGTGTGTGTGTGTACTGCTGAACCTCTGACTTAGAGCCAGTCAGAAGCACAGGTAACCACTGGGACTTGTTCTGGGCATCTGAAGTGGGGCTGGTCTTGTGGGACCGAGCTGTGAGATCTGATGCTGTCTTCAGGTAGATGGTGTCAGAATTGAATTGTATTGGAGGACACTCAGGCGATGTCAGAGAGTCGCTTGGTGTGTGTGAGGAAACCCACATGTCAGAATTGGTGTCAGAGGGGATCCCTGGGTGGCGCAGCGAGCGGTTTAGCGCCTGCCTTTGGCCCAGGGCGCGATCCTGGAGACCCGGGATCGAATCCCACATCGGGCTCCCGGTGCATGGAGCCTGCTTCTCCCTCTGCCTATGTCTCTGCCTCTCTCTCTCTCTCTCACTGTGTGCCTATCATAAATAAAAAAAAATTGGTGTCAGAATTGTGTGTATAGAACAACTAGGGATGCCTGGGTGTCTCAGTGGTTGAGCGTCTGTCTTTGGCTCAAGGTGTGATCCCGGGGTTCTGGAATTGAGTTCTGCATTGGGCTCCCTGTAAGGAGCCTGCTTCTCCCTCCACCCGTGTCTCTGCCTCTCTCTGTGTATTTCATGAATAAATAAATATTTTTTTTAATTTTTTTTTTAATTTTTATTTATTTATGATAGTCACACACAGAGAGAGAGAGAGAGGCAGAGACACAGGCAGAGGGAGAAGCAGGCTCCATGCACCGGGAGCCCGACGCGGGACTCGATCCCGGGTCTCCAGGATCACGCCCTGGGCCAAAGGCAGGCGCCAAACCGCTGCGCCACCCAGGGATCCCAATAAATAAATATTTTTAAAAAGGAAATACAACTGAATTTTGTGTGTTGATCTTGAATCCTCCAATTTTGCTGAATTTGCTTATTATCTCTAAGCGTGTGTGTGTTCTTTTTTTCTGTGAATGTATGTATGATATCATCTGTGAGTATGGATGGTTTTACTTCTTTCTTTCCAATTTGGATACCTTTTATTTTTCTTTCTTGCAAAAGTGCTGTAATTAGGACTGCCAGTACAAAGTTGAGCAGATGAAATGGTAAAAGTGGGCCCTTTCCTGATCTTAGGGAGAGGCTTTCAGTCTTTTATCATCGAATATGACATTAGTTGTGGATTTTTCATAAATGTGCATCATCAGCTTGAGGAAGTTCCCATATATTCCTTGTTTGTTGAGTGTTTTTATCTTGAAATGGTGTTGGGTTTTGTCAGACGTTTTTTCCACATCATGTGGAAAAAGAGATGACCATGTGGTTTTACCCCTTCATTCTATTCATGTGGCATATTACATTAATTGTTTTTTTTGTATGTTAAACTACCTTGTATTCTGTAGTAGATCCTGTTTGGTCATGGTATACAATCCCTTTGGAGCTGCTTGGTTCCATTTTGTTGAAATTTTTACATCTATATTCATAAGAAATATTGCTTATTACATTTTCTTTTTTTTAATTATTTTTTTTATTGATTTATGATAGTCACAGAGAGAGAGAGAGAGAGAGGCAGAGACATAGGCAGATGGAGAAGCAGGCTCCATGCACTGGGAGCCCGACGTGGGATTCGATCCAGGGTCTCCAGGATCACGCCCTGGGCCAAAGGCAGGTGCCAAACCGCTGTGCCACCCAGGGATCCCCAACTTATTACATTTTCTTGTGATGTCTTTATCTGGCTTTGGCCTCAGGTTGATCTCACAGAATGAATTAGGAAGTGTTCCCTGCTCTTGTATTTTTTGGAAGAGTTTGAGAGGATTGGTGCTCATTCTTTAAATGATTGGTAAAACTAGCCTGTGAAATTACCCAGTCCTGGGATTTTCCTTGTTGGGACGTTTCTGATTATTGATTCAATCTTGTTATTTGTTAGAAGTATATTCAGGCCTCCTATTTCTTCTTGAATCAGTTTTGGTAGTTTGTGTTTCTAGGATTTGTTAATTTCATCTAGGTTTCTCATTTGTTGGTGTACAACTGTTCATAGTATTCTCTTATAATACTCTATTTCTGGATAATCAGTAATAATGGCTTCACCTTCATTTCTAACCTTAATAATTTTAAGGTCCTCTCTCTCTTTTTCTTAGTCAGTCTAGTCAGAAATTTGTCAGTCTTGTTGATTGTTTCAAATAACCAACTTTTAGTTTCACTGATTTTCTGTTGTTTTTCCATCCTCCACTGTGTTTCACTCCACCTTAATATTTATCATTAACTTCCTTCTGCTAACTATAGGCTTAATTTGCTCTTCTTTTTCCTAATTATTAAAGGTGTAAAGTTAGGTTAGTGATTTGAGATCCTTCTTGTCCCCCCCCCTTTTAAAGTAATCTCTACCCAGTGGGGCTCAAACTCAGGACCTTGAGATCAAGAGCCACAGGCTCCACCGACTGAGCCAGCCAGGATCCCCCCCCTTCTTCCTCTTAATGTAGGCATTTACACATTAGATTTCCTCTCAGCACTGCTCTGGCTGCATCCCATAAATTTCATTGTGTTGTGTTTTCATTTTCTTTTATCTCAAAGCATTTTCCAATTTCTCTTTCAATTTCTTTTTTTTTTTTGAGGGAGGATTTTAAAGGTAGTTCCTTTATTTATTTTTATAGCAGTCATTGCAAATTACTCATAGAACTTAGTATACATTGTATAGATTCTTTTTTTTTAAGTGTTGAGGTAAAAAAATAAAGTGTTGAGGTATTGTTGACATACAATGTTATACTAGTTTCAGGTGGACAACATCCTGATTCCACAGTAATTCCAGTCACCTGTCACCACACAATGTCATAACAATATTATTCACTATATTCCCTATGCTGTACTTTTCATCTCCATGACTTGTTTTATTTATTAAAAAGATTTTATTTATTTATTCATGAGAGACACAGAGGCAGAAGAAGTAAGCTCCCCACAGGGAGCCTGGTGTGGGACTCAATCCCAGGACCCTGGGATCACAACATGATCCAAAGGCAGTCATTCAACCACTGAGCCACCCAGAAGCCTTGACTGATTTCTTTTATAATTGGAAGTTTGTACCTCTTCATCTTCTTTGCCTATTTATTTTCTTTCTTTTTTTAATACATTTTTTTAATTTTTATTTATTTATGATAGTCACAGAGAGAGAGAGAGAGGCAGAGACATAGGCAGAGGGAGAAGCAGGCTCCATGCACCGGGAGCCCGACGTGGGATTCGATCCCGGGTCTCCAGGATCGCGCCCTGGGCCAAAGGCAGGTGCCAAACCGCTGCGCCACCCAGGGATCCCTATTTTCTTTCTTTTAAGATTTTATTTACTTATTTGAGAGAGAAAGTGCACGAGAGAGAGAAAGAGCACAAGTTGGGGGAGGGCAGACTCCTCACTGAGCAGGGAGCCCAATGCAGGGCTCGATCCCAAGACCCCAGGATCATAACCTAAGCCAAAGGCAGATGCTTAACCAACTAAGCCACCCAGGCACTCCCCATTCCCTTCTCCTCTTGCATCCACCAGTTTGTTCTCTATATTTATGGGTCTGTTTCTGCTTTTTGCTTGTTTTATTGTTCAGATTCTGCATAGGAGTGAAATCATATGATCTTTGTCTTTCTCTGACTTATTCCACTTAGCATAATACGCTCTAAGTTTTTTCTGTGTTGTTGCAAATGGTAAGATCTCATTCTTTTTTATGGCTGAGTAATATTCCAGCATGTGTATATGTGTGCGTATGCATCTTTTTATTTTTTTAAAGATTTTATTTATCTGAGAGAGAGATCAGAGATGGTGAGAGAGAGCACGAGCGGGGAGGAGAGGGAGAAGCAGGCCCCTGCCCTGAGGAGGGAGGGGCTCGACAAGGGGCTCGCCCTGGGATCATGACCTGTGTCTAAGACAGACACTTAACCAACTGAGCCACCCAGGTGCCCCACATCTTTTTTATCCATTCATCCATCAATGGATACTTGGGCTGCTTCCATATCTTTGGACTCTTTTTTAACCCATTAATTCAGAATGCATTGTTTAATTGGTACTTATTTGTGAAGTGTCTACTTTTTGTTACAGATTTCTACTTTCATTCCATAGTGATTGGAAAAGAAACTTTGCAGGATTTCAGTCTTTTAAAATGTATTGTAGTTTTGTTTGGTGGCCTAATTTCTGATCTCTCCTAGGAGGTGTTCCTTGTGCAGTAGAGAAGGAGGTCCATTCTGCTGTTTGTAGGTGAGTGTTCATGTGTGTCTGCTTGGTCCAACTGGTGTATGATGCACCAGCTCCTCTATGTCCTTGTCAATCTTCTGTCTGGTTGTTCTGTCCTTCATTGAAAGTAGGGTATTGACGTGTCCAACCATTCTTGTAGAAATGTGTAATTCCTCCTTCAAATTTGTCCATTTTTGCTTCATATCTTTTTTTAGGATTTTGTTGTTAGGTGTGCATGTTTATAATTATTACACCCTTTTATGGATATATAACAGCCTCCTTCATCTCTTAAATAATTCTTGACTTGAAGTCTATTTGGTCTGATAGTATATTCACCCCAACTGTCTTTTGTTTACTATTGGCATGGAATACCATGCTTGTTCTTGCCCATTCTTTCATTTTATTTTTATTTTTTATTTTTAAAAAAGATTTTGTTTATTTTTTTTTAAATTTTTATTTATGATAGTCATACAGAGAGAGAGAGGCAGAGACATAGGCAGAGGGAGAAGCAGGCTCCATGCACCGGGGGCCCGACATGGGATTCGATCCTGGGTCTCCAGGATTGCGCCCTGGGCCAAAGGCAGGCGCCAAACCGCTGCGCCACCCAGGGATCCCAAAAGATTTTGTTTATTAATTCATGAGAGAGAGAGAGACACACACACACACACACACACACAGAGAGAGACAGAGAGAGAGAGAGAGAGAGAGAGAGAGAGAGAGAGAGAGAGAGGCAGACACACAGGCAGAGGGAAAAACAGGCTCCATGCAGGGAGCCCAACATGGGACTCGATCTCAGGTCTCCAGGATCAGGCCCTGGGCCAAAGGCGGCACTAAACTGCTGAGCCACCTGGGCTGCCCTCATTTTATTTCATTAATTCATGAGAGACAGAGAGAGAGAGAGAGAGAGAGAGAGACAGGGACACAGCCAGGAGAAGCAGGCTCCATGCAAGGAACCCGACGTGGGACTCAATCCCAGGACTCCAGGATCATGCCCTGGGCCAAAGGCAGGTGCCAAACTGCTGAGCCACCCAAGGATCCACCCATTCTTTCATTTTCAACCTATTTGTGTTTTTTGCTCTAAAGGGAGTTTCTGGTAGATAGCATACAGTTGCATCATTTTTAATCCATCTGACAACCTTTGCCTTTTATTTTATTTTTTTAAAGATTTTATTTATTTATTCATGAGAGAGAGAGAGAGAGAGACAGACACACAGGCAGAGGGAGAAGCAGGCTCCATACAGGGAGCCCGACAGGTCTCCAGGATCCCAGGTCTCCAGGACCAGGCCCTGGGCTGAAGGCGGCGCTAAATTACTGAGCCATCCGGGGGGCTGCCGAACCTCTGCCTTTTAATTGGAAAGTTGAATCAATCTACAAACCAGGAGGCCTCCTCTTCATGGGAGGGTGAGAAATTCAAGGCCAAACACTGGCCTTCAAATATTTGTGTCTCTCCACCAGGCCTATCTCAGTTCTTGCCACATAGAGCCCTCTACAGGTGTTTGCTGATGGCCCCTGGGAACTTCCGAGGGAACTGGGGCCCACTGGCAGAGCTGCATCAGGCTGGGGAGGAGGCAGTGGCCAGGGGACTGGGTATCAGGAGAGGAGTGAGGAGGTGCATCCTTCTGCCCCAGTATTTGTTTCTGTCATTGGAAGCTGACTATATACTGATTTAATGGGTGAGGCAGGGGGCTGGGTCTACTGGGAAGGAGGTTGGGAAGATGGAATTCCAGGTTGTGATATCATAAGGATGTCTGAGGGGTAAGTGTCCTCTTTTGGGGCCCGTCCTCCACTGCTCAGCCCAACGTGGGCTTGCTCCAGATGAAGGTGGACCAGCCCCCGTGGGTTCCCTGGCACTGTTGCCTGGCCAGTAGGATGGCTCTGGCAGGTCTAAGGAGCTTTGTGTTCAACAAACAATCTGTGAAGGTGAGGAAGGAGAAGGGACCCAGGAAGCATGGGGCCCTGTCCTCACCGTTCCCGGTCAAAGGGAATGGCCAGGCCTCATGGTCTACACAAGATACCTCTAGAACTACAATCACTGTTTAGTAGATGCCAGTCTGTACTCCAGCCCCGACCTCTCCCTAGGACTCCACACATGGGCAAGTCTCAATCTCCAGTGCTCGTAAATGAACGGGCCTAGCTTTGAACCCATAATGCTGGACCAGCTCACATGCACTTAACCACTAGTTAAATGGCCTTTGAAGAGGTCACCGACCTCTTCTCTCCTGAATCTCTCCTCCTCTGTCTAACCTGCTATCTACTCTTCATCACTAAAGCCTTCATCACTTGTCCCCAACCCACTGCTCCAGCCTCATCCTCTCACCACTCCCTCTCTCACATCCTAGGGGCTCCACAGAACTTCCCCCCACAGAAGTCCCCTGTTTCCTGAATATTCTGAGTCCAAGCCTTCCACCTTCCCTGCTGTCTCTGCCTGGGACACCCCTCCCCCACCCAGCCCAGGGAACTAGTTTTTGTTCCCTTGAGGCCCAGCTGGGGGGAACCTCCCCTGATCTGCTACCCTGACTTCCCAGAGGGACCTGCGACATCCTTTTTTGGAATCTTACATTCCATACTTCTGCAGGGCCCTCACAAACCCCATCCCATGTTACTTTCTACTTCCCATGGCCTTGGGGCAGGGACCTGTCTCCTTTGTTTCAGGCTCATCAGACCAGCCATTGCCTGGTACAGTGAATAATGGTGAAAGGAATGAGTCCTCACTTGGGGTCTGCCCTGTGGCTTTATTTCAGCTACCAAGGTTGTACCTTACCTCTGAGCCAGGACCCTATGCTGACTTGGTGCCTGGTATGTAATAGCTGCTTGGTGAATGTTCATGGAAGGCAGGAGGGCATGTGGGCAGAAAAGCCAGTGCTTCTAATGCAAAAAACAAAACAACAACAAAACAACCCTTTGCTTTTCTCTGGGCTGCACAGGGTGTGTGGTGAAGCAGGACTTTTTCTCCATCTCTCCAGAAAATTTGCTGTCTCCTTGAGGCTCCATTTTTGAGAAAGTGGGGGAGGGGGCCTGGGGAGGCAGAGGACACCAGTGGAGGGGAAGAGCAATAGTTGTTCATGCAGCCAGGTGCTCTGTCCAGGAGCACAGGTCACCCTGTGGTCAAGAGGGCCCAGCATAGTGATGCCCACGAATCTCTGCCCTTCTCAGAACCTCAGTTGTCTCATCTGTCAAATGGTACAGGCATCCTTACCCCACCCAGGTCATCAAAGCCGTTGGAGCTGACAGCACTTTGGAAATAAAGACTCAGTGAATTGATTATACAAATGAAGAAGGTTATTATTAGACCCAGGAGCAGGGTTGGAAGGAAAAACATCCAAAATGTGGAATAAGTGCTTAGGATTCCTGCCTTGAGCCTCTTGAGGAAAAGAGAAGCAGGTAGTGGGCAGGAAGAACAGCACCTACAGGGAGGAGGGAGGTGGGAGCTGGGTCCTGGCTCTGCCACAGACCAGTTACTTCCCCCTGAGACTCAGTTTCCTCACCTGTATAAAGGGAGAGCACAATCCCTGCCTGGCTCCTCCCAAGGGTCTCAATGCAACTTTAGTGAAAGAGTGGGGACGGAAGAGCTTTGCAAACTGTAAAGTGCAAAACACGCATGTAGGCTAACTGCAGCTCCGGGACCTAGGCCCAGCCGGGCTCTGGGGAGTGGAGACAAGTAAGCGTTGGCAATGAAACACTGTTTGAGGCCCACGGGGTCCTGTGAGTACCCTCAGATCCCTAATGCCTGTTCCTTCTCCTTGCTCCCCTCAGCTTCCCCGGCATCCTCTGCGCTGGGGTCTGAGAAAGTGGATTGTGGGGTTATGGAGGCCGGGGGAGAAGAGGAGCCGCACCAGCCACACCCTTGGCAAGACCCCACTGGTGGCCTCCGATCCCCACAGACGAGCAAGTGCATTTCTTGAGATTGACAAAAGTACTCTTGAGGTGAGGAAGGGTCATGGCCCTTGGCCCTCTCTTCCCTGATCAGCGCCCTTGGGATGAGGTCTTGTGTGCCTCTAGGTAGTCTGTCTTTGTCAGCTCCATTCCTGGATGAGGGTTAGAATGATGCTGGTGAATCTTCCTCGTAGCCCCCAGATGGATACCAGTCCAGGAAGGAGAGTGGCACCCACTTCCTCCTGGCACCCCCAGACCATGGGGCCCCAGCCCAGCAGAGGCTTAAGCCTGGCTCGCCATTCCCCCTGTGGTGGGTCTCAGGTTCAAAGGGGCAGCGAGAAGAGAGCTGTGGGTGAGCCCTGGACAGAGCACATCAGAGCAGTGCCTTGAAGAGGAAGGAGAAAGCAGCTCCACAGGAGAGCCCCAGGGCCAAGAAGAAGGTCATGAGGGTGCCAGCCACCTCCCTCTCATGTGGCAGCACTTGCCTAGAACACACAGGAGTAGGAGCTCTTAGGAAAGACCAGGCCAAACCTGGACCCCGCCCCAGTGCCCTCTAACCCTCTTGTAACAGGATGCCTGAATCCTAGTCTGGGCTGCCCCAACCTCTGAGTTACCATAATTCGTCCCTCTCCCAATTTCATTTTCCTGATCTATAAAATAAGGCTACCACCAAGGACACCTCTCAGGCCTCACAGGCCCAGTAGAATGGGATTCTAGATTCCACTGCCTTCCCCCACAACAAAATGTCCCCAGCCTGGTCCTCCCTGTCACCTCTTCTGTCTCTGGATTCTCAACTCCATTGTCCCTGGAGTAAATAGCCCATGAACCCCCACTTTCGATCAAGACCTTAGCTACCCCCCAAAACAACAACAACAACAACAACAACAACAACAACAAGACCTTAGCTACCCTTCAACTGAGGATTCTGGGTGTAGCTGGGCCCTAAGGAATGATAGCTCAACCCGTTGATTTCACAGCTGGGGAAACACACCCAGAGAGGAGGCCCTAGAAGCAGTGCCTGGACTACTTCCGTCGGCAGGAACTCCCCCAGCTCCTGCCCTGGGGCCAGCTCGGGTTAAAGCCTGATCTGACAGCGACACCTAGAGACAGCTAGTGCTGGGCTGGCTAGAAGCAGAAGGGACCCCCTCTTATAGGCTGTCCACCTCAAAGAGCAAGCCCACCTCCCCACTCCCAGGCCCTCCCTCTTGACCCCCAGACCTGGGCGCCAGGCACATGGTAAGGGACATCAGGTAGCCGTTGGAAACAGCGAAAAGCAGCATGAAAGTGATGAAGTAGGCATCCTGTGGGAAGAGGATGGGCAGCCGGGACCTCTCGGGCACGTGGCACAGCATGAAGAGCGGCACGAACAGGACACGCAGGCAGACAAGCAGCGGCAGTAGCCGGCTGTCCTCATCTGGCTATGGCAGACACCCGGGTGAGGGCAGTCCCTGGGAGCCCACCCCAGATAGACTCTGTCACTTCCCCTGACCTCCTACTCTACATGAGCCAGTGAGGGCCCAGGGCTTGCTTAGGCCTCCAGTGAGGGGCTGGGAAGGCCCTCCAGCAATCAAGGACTGGCCTGGGGATAGCCTCTGCCCCTTCTCATCTCCAGCTTAGACTCTCTCCATGGCAGAACTGGAAGAGACCTTAGATAGCATCTCTGGTTTTCAAGCAGGGTTCCTCCAAGTACCCCTGGGGGTTCCACAGACCCCTTTGGGGCAGATGGTGTTGCTGAATGGAGTTGGAAGCTGGGGATCCAGGGCCCCATGCCAGCCTGGATTAGAGCAGCTCCTCTTTGATCTACTTTGTTATATCTCCTTGGAAGATTTCATTTAAAGAAGCAGCACCCATGAGTAAAATCAAACACTAGGAATCTTGTCCAACCTCTCACATGGTACAGAGATCTCCATGCAACAGTCTAGGCTGAGCACCGAGGCCTGGGTCCTGGGCTGGAAGCTGGGGACATAGTTCAACTGGATATGACTTCTGCTTTCAAGGAGCTCACAGTCCAAGCCCTGGCTTGTATACCTCCAGGGCCAGGTGCTCACTATCACTAGGCCAGCTGTTATATTGCCAGACCTAAAATGGTCAGACTTTTGGGAAATCACTTTTCTGTGCTCTTTCACATCCTCTGATCCCCAACTTCTTCCTGAAATCATCAGATACCCCCAGCCCAGAGGTATGCTCACCCACAGGAAGTAGGAGGTCAGGCTCCGTCCCACCCAGTCCATGATGTTGAAGAGAAGGAAGCAGCAGATGGGGTTGAAGAACCGACCTGGGAGAGAAACAGGGCTCATCCTGGTCCCTCCTTCCGTCTCCTTCTTCCCTCTTCCTCCCTCCTCCCTCCATCTCCCCTGCCCTCTTCTGCTTCCCAGCACTCACTCCACTTCCCAGGACTGGTGGAGCTGGTCACCATGGCCGTGATTGCAGGAAACACGGACAGAGTGACTGTGAAGACCAGCACGAGGCACAGCGCCGTCAGCCAGATCTGGGAGCCAGAGGCAGGGATGTAAGCAGGCGGGGCAGACTCTGGCCCAACACACAGCCCCAGCCCCCAAGTGCTTGCTGGGGGGTGGGCAGGACACCCGGAGCCTGGCCTAGCTGTGTTCCTAACCCACTATGACCCTGGCACCTTGAAGTGGACCAGGTGAGCACTAAGGCTCCATTCCATTCTAAGGGTCTTCAGAGAGGGCTGGAGAGAACAGCTCTCTCTTCCCCAGGAGTGGTGGTTGGGGATCATATACAAGTCAAACCTTTTGGAAGACAATGAAAACTGAAGGTTTTTCTGGCTTCTGGGGCTCCTCTGGCTCCAGCTCTGGGTCCTTCTCAGCATCAAGATCCAAAGTCAGGGCTACCTTCTGGGGGCTGTTGGGAATACCATTCTTCTCATCTGGGGTGGAGAGGGGAGGACAGGGTCATGCCTGTGACAGCCAGGCTCCATGGAGGGCGATTCCCAGCAGTTAAAACAAATGACTTTCCACCAGCCCGGGACGTAGGCAAAGAGAATTAACCATGTAAATATGCTAAGCTACTACTTATGAAGCACATACATGTGCCAGGCAGAGATAAGCACCTTACATGAATTTTTTAAATAAAAAAATCTTTATTCATAAGAGACACAGAGAGAGAGGCAGAGACATAGGAAGGGGGAGAAGAAGCAGGCTCCATGCAGGAAGCCCGATGTAGGGCTTGATCCTGGGCCTACAGCATCATGCCCTGAGCCAAAGGCAGGTGCTCAACCGCTGAGACACCCAGGCATCCCAGCACCTTATATGGATTATGTCATTGCTACTGCTTTCCAAATAAAGAAACAGGCTCAGAGAGGTTAAGGGACTTGCCTAAGGTCATCCAGCTTGGATGTTGCAAGGCCAGGATTCAAACAAATGCATTTGGATAGAGAACTAGCAAATTGGAGCTCTACTGTCTCCCCATTTTATGGAATGGAAAACTGAAGCCCTAGGCCAGCAAGAGTAACTTTACTTCCACTGAATTCCCTTCCTGACCTCTGTGTCTGCTCACACAAGGCTACTAGGGGTGAGCAGAAGTAGCTCACACAAGGCTACTAGACGGGGAGGTACCAGAGGGAAAATGCTTTCCTGTAGAGGTAGCTTTACCCTCCCCTGGGTCTTCCACATCCCCAGCAGGGGCCCAAGCTCACCAGACTGGAGGAGCTCAGCTTTGGTCTCCAGCTCCTGACCTTGCGCCTGTGATGGTTTCTTGGCTAGGTAGTAGCGGGCAAACTCCTGCAGAAGGAAAGTGTTGGCCCTGCCTGGCTTGGCTGAGGTGTCTGGATCCCTCTCCACCCTGTCGTCTCAGAGGCTGGAGTCCCCAGTAGCTGACTCCTTTGGGGATCAGGTCCCCTCCCCCTCCCCTGGCCTCTCTCAGGGCCTCAGACTCAGAACTGTATCTGAGATGCTCTGCAGTGGGGCCTTGAGCCCAATACCAGGCTCACCAGGTGGGGCAGGCTCAGGTAACACACGATGGACACGAAGATGCCCACGCAGGGTGTGATGAAGTACCCCAGGGCGGAGGTCTGGGCATCCACGCCACCTGTGCAGAAACTTCAGCTGCAGAGTGGAGGGGGGGCTGGTCCTACTGGCTCCCTGGGGGGGGGGGGGCGGCGGCTAATGACTCTTGTCCCACTTCCCATGATGTACTTCTCAGATTTCACTTCCTGGCCTCTGCCGCTATGCTCTCTGACAAACTCAGGAACCTCTGCAGGACCCTAGCCCAGGCATTTGTTTCTCTCACTCTTCCCTACTTGTCATTTTGTTGAGCACTTCTCATTTTTGTTACCATCTCAGGACAGAGCTATAAGAGGCATTTCAGTGGGGAACCTGACACAGGTGAAGTACCCTGTCCAGTCCCCTGGCTGGGAAGCAGTACAACTAGGATTCTAACCCAGTTTATCTGAATCTTAAACTAGTCCCCCCCTTTCCTGAACCCCAGGCTGCTGCCAGATACCAGTGTCAGCCTTGGGAATCCTGCCCCTGGGCCCAAGTTAATCCAATCCTCACCTGATCATCCTCTCGCTATAGAACCCAAGAGCCCCACTCCTTACTCCCAAGCCCAACCCCCAGCTCCCCATCATCTCTACCCAGAACCCAAGGCATCTCACTCCTAGAATACTTTCTGCTCCCCAGTATCCCAGAGGCCACTCTACCCCTCCAGCCATACAAGTCCACTCACTGGCCATGGACATGAGCATGGCAAGAGCAGCGAAGATCCCAGCCAGGCCCTGGCCACTGAGGAAGAGGGTGCTGTAGGTGGAAGGCATGGTGCCCAGCTGCCCGAAGAGACTGCCCTGCAGAACCGCACAGAAGGCTGTGGAGGGAGAAGAGTGGGGGATGCCGCTCAACTAGGCAGGCCTTAGAGGCTCCCTTGAGGAGGTGCTGGCAGGGTGCATGGGAAACTCAACTAGGTTGGGCAGGCATGAGACTCTGGGCACCCTAGTGTAACACCCCCCACCCCATTCTTTCTTCTCAGGTATAGCCATAGGTTTGGGGGGCTAGGGGTCAGGAGGCCTGATCTTAGGTCACCGTGGGTTTGGGACAAGTGACTTTTCTCCTTCTCAGTTTCTCATCAGGGATGGGAGTGCTGCTGCTGCTGTGGTCTTTCCTTCTTGAATATGTTGGGCCCTTCCAGTTACAGAGAAGGGACTGGGCTGAAGCCCTGGGTGGACTGAGTGGGGAGAGGGAGGGGCAGCAGTGCTCACAGTTGATGAACCAGACAGAGGCCATGGTGATGGAGAAGAAAGGCCCAGGGCTCATATCCACCTTGACCAACGCCGCCGTCAGGGCAAAGAGCAGCAGGATGACCAGCAGGCTGCCCAGAATCCGCACCATCTCAGGGATGCTGCTCACAAGTAGGAGCAGAGTGGGCATCGGCTGGGCCCCGGCCAGGCAGGGGGAGGTAGGCAAGAGATTGAGCCCAGGGTTGGACACTGGGAGTTGTGGGGGGACATGCAGGAGGATTGGAGGAAGGATGGGAGGTCTTCCCTGGGCCCAGATGGAGCTTCCTTAGCAAAGGGGGGTGGAGGGACCACAGAGGGCTGGTGGAGGGACCACAGAGGGCTGGTAGAGGGACCACAGGGTGAAGGGACCACAGAGGGATGGCCTGCGGGGAGCCCGAGGGCTGGGGCCTCTCACCACTGGTACAGTAAGGAGTTGAGGAGTGTGAAGAGCAGCAGAGGCAGCTGGGACAGTAGTGTCACCCAGTTGTTGAAGTTGAAGGTGTCTGCGAGGCCTGTGTGGTTGGTGTCCAGGGCCCCGGTGGTGGTATTGGCCCCTGCCAGCCGCCCCTGAAAGTACTGCCAGGATGCCAGGGGAGGGGGTATGGGGTCACCCTCCAACCTACCCTGAGGAACCCCCTAGCCTTTCCTCTCTGTCTCCTCCCATGCTTGGGATTGCTCAGTTAAAGTCTGCAGGAAGTGTCTCTCCGTCCTGGTACTGATCTCAGTACCTGGCACAGTCAGAGCTCAATGAATGTTCCCTGAATTGAACAGCTGACGTCTGGGACAGAGCCCAAGCCCTAAGAACCCCCAACTTGGGCCTTGCTCTATCTTCCGATCACCCTTCCTCTGCAGTGCCCTGGTTCCAGTCTCTACCTCTACTCCTGCAGCAGCTTCCAGATTCCTGAGGATTTACTGAGTGCCTAACTGTAAGCCAGGCCCTGGCCCAGGTGCTAACTAACTGCATTCTCTCTGGAACACACGTTCGTTAAGCCCCTGCTTAACTTCCTTCTCCCTCCTGCCCATAGTTCCCTGTTGCCTACAGGGCAAAGTCCCAAGATTTTGGAACAGCACTGAAGGCCCCTCAGAACCTCCCTTTTGTGTTGCATCTCCTGCTGCATCCCGGTAAGCTCTAGGTACCCTAGGCTCTGGTCCTGTCTCTGAACAGGCTGGTGTTCCCCTGCCTTGGTGCCTTTGCACAGCAGTCCTCTCCACCTGGAATGCCTTTCCCCTTTCCTCCCAGTCCCACCTAGCCCCCAAACACCAGTGCTTTACCTATCCTTCTCCCAAGTTACAAATCACCTCTTCTATAAAGCAGAAGGAACTCTCCCTTCCCTGGGGACCTAGGAGGACTTTGCTCCAAGCCTGGGGTGGCAGGTTCCTTCTTAAATTATTAATAGCTCTTTGGCACCCAGCTCCCTCTCAAGACAGGGTCTGATTCATATTTGGGTCTCTAGGGTCCAGCAGAGAGCCAGACACTAAAGGGGCATCTGGAAAGTTGTATCATTGAATATATATGGATAACCAGTCCTAGAGAGAACACAAACCCCATATTTCTGCCTTCCCTTGAGGGAGTATCTCCATGAGGATGGAGGCTTCCTCTGTTATGTTTCCTCCTGTAGCCCCAGTGCCAAGAACAGGGCCTGGCTCACAGTAGATGCGCCTTATTAACTGTTTATTGGTTGAATGAATGCAACTCATGCTATTTCAGTGAAAACCAAACCATAATCCACTTTTGGAGTGGATTAGGCCAGGAATGACTAGCCAGGGAATAATGACAAACAGGGGCGGTGGGTGGGTAGCTCTTCACTAGTTCCATAGGCTCGCCCCTGAGCTGGTGGCCTTGCCCCTGTAGGATCCGGGCATCCCTGAAAGCTTGGCCTTTCCTATCTGCAAGAGGGGCACTTCCCCTCTCTGAGGCTCAGGGCTTCAGTGGACAAACGCACAGACATATTGGCATAATGAGGAGTCAACGGCGGCAAGGTGGGGAAGCGAAGCGCCTGGGCTTCTCTGGTCCAAGGCAATGGTGTTTGTGGCCATGAGGCTGGCACTCTAGCCGCGAGTCTCACCGGGATGGCCGTAATGAAGAAGTTCCAGGGAAGGAGAGTGCCCAGGCCCAGGATGAAGAAGCTAATCCCGACCAGGTGGTAGCTGTGGGGATCAGTCAGAAGGTCACCCTGAGGACGCAACGCCCCGGCCGCGCCCTCCCCCTCCCGCCTCCCAGGGCCACCCCTCCGCAGAGCGGACTACAACCCCCGTCACTCCCGTTCAGGTAGCAGACGGAGGCGGCTGATGGGAATTGTAGTTCCATCAGCCTGCTTTGAGCCTACGAGCGCCCGAAGGCAGCGGGTCTGCGCTGCTCACCGCCACCCGGATCCCCGTCCGCACCCCACTCGGTCCCCAACCCCCCAACTCGCCTGTCCTGTGGGGCGTCTCCTCGCGCCATGGCCGCCCAGCGGGATGCGCCCGGGTGAAAGAGCGGTGGGGTGCTGCACCTGCACCTACGCCGGGACCCGAGAGCCAGAGGACCAGGGAGGTGGACGGGGAAGGGGGGTCGGGTCTCCCTGAAAGGGGCGGGGGTGGGGGCGAGGCGGGAGCCAGGGAGGAAGGCCGGGACAGATTTCCAAGGGTGTCAGGCTCCACGGGCTCGGACCTTGCTCCGCCCCCGGGGCGGGGACAGAGGGTCGCACCACCCCTCCCCACCTCCTCCTGGCGCGGACTCTAGACTCCCGCGCTGGACTCCGCTCGCATCCCGCGGGGTCCCGTGCAGCTTAGAGGCGGCTGACCCGGGAAGATCCCTTGCGGCCTCCCCGCCCCGCGGGCGCCGGTCCCGGATCTGCCGGCAGGGTCGGGGGAGGCGGGCGGGGGGGGTGGTACCCCGCCCCTCCCCCGCCCAGAGCTGGCGAGCCGACATCGTGCGGCTTCTTCCCCCTCCGCCAGCTCGCAGGTGCAGCGCTGGGTGACGCGGGGGCCCTCGGAGGAGCAGACTCGCCCAGGGGGTAACCCGAGCGTCGGTCGCCAGCGGTCCTGGCGGGCTGCGCCGAGCTGGGTGCCTCGGGAGGCCGAGGAGAGGGCCAGGTGCGGGTGCTGTCGGAGCCCTCAGGCAGGTCTGGCAGACAGAAGGACAGACTGGCTCTTCTCGTCCAAGTGCTTACCTGGGGAAGCGCCGGGCCTTTGGGGACTCACTGTAGAGGCGTGGGCCCAGTTGGGGCGTCCAGGCGGGCTTCCCGGTGACAGTGAGGCTGAGCTGCGTTCGGAGCAGCAAGAGGTTAAGCAAAGGCTCCGGAGGAAAGTGTGACCCGGAGGTACTCTCCCACTGCTGCTGCTAAACAAACAAACAAACCACCTTGGGAGGGCCCCAGGTCCCATCATATCAAACCTATTAAGATGTACCCACGTCCCACATTTTCTTTTTCGTGTGAAAAACTTTGAAGAGATTATAGACCATTGCAATTTTGAAACTGACTTGCTGTCACTCATGTAATTTACAAGTGGGTTTGTTTGCTCTGCAGTCATCGTGCATATAGGGGATGTTGGAGAAGTGAGAGGCATTAAATCGCAAATTTTCATAAGCAATGTAATATTATGACCACTTCCAGATTACATGTGTGTGTGTGTTTCTTAAGTCGACTGAGTCTATGGGGCAAAGACTACTTGTCTGTCTCAGTGTTGTATTATTGCAAACATCTAGCTCCTGCCTGGTTCGTTTCAGGTGCTTGATAAATGCTGGATAAATAAATGGATTGTAATGATATACACTGATTTGAGGTAGTAAAGAGACAGCATTAAGGTACGCTGAAAGAGAAAGTTATTCTTTTTTCCAATTTGCTTTCAAGCCTTCAATATGTCAAGGAGAAAGTCTCAACGGTCCTAACATGTTTCTAACATCTGTTGGTCTCTCTTCCCTTTTCTTTAACAAAGAGATGGCTTCAGGGCTTCTGCAGACTTTATCTAAATAGAGATTAATAACGTTTATGTTCCTTATCTATTTTTATTGTTGCTTTATTTATTTCATTTTTTAAAAGATTTTGTTTATTTATGAGAGACACAGAGGCAGGCTCCATGCAGGGATCCTGATGTAGGACTCAATCCTGGGATTCCAGGGTCACCCCCTGAGCCCAAGGCAGACGCGCAACCACTGAGCCACCCAAGCATCCCTATTGTTGCTTTATTTATAGGGCTATTGATGCTAGCTTTGTATTTATGATAAGGATATGCACTTTTCTTTGAAAAACAATGTATAATAAATGTATAATGTATGTATATATACATTTATATACATGTATATACATTTATGTATAATAAATAAATGTTTATAAATTTATTAGAATTAAATAAAAGTTAAATATCACTAAATTAAAATACAAGTTTAAAATAACAAAAGGTTAATTTTTTATGATTTTTTATTTTATTTTTTATATTTATTTAATTTAAAAATAAATTTATTTATTGTACACCTGAAAGTAATGTAACATTGTATGTGAGCCATATATTAATTTAAAAAATATAAAAGAAAAGATAAATTTGTTTATAATTTAATGTAAATTCAAAAATAATGTATGAAAGATGAGTCATTTAATGAAAATTAAGTTGGGGCACCTGGCTAGCTCATTGGTGTAGCATGCGACTGTTGATCTCAGGCTTGTGAGTTTGAGCCCCACGTTGGGTGTAGAGATTACTTAAAAATAAAATCTTCAAAAAAACAATAAGAAAAATTAAGTAAAAAGGATTGCAGGTAGTGCACAGCTATGACGCAGGTTTCAAAGGAATGCCAAGAAGAACACAGGCTGGGGGACACTGCATTTGTTCAAGTGGTAAGTGAAGAAGATGAAGGTGTTTCAGGGAGAGAACAACCTGGACCAAGTCTAGGGACGTGAGAATACTGCCACATTCTGAGACATACAAACAGATCCCTTTGGCAGGCCTGAGGGGAACAGGGGGCTGAGCCTCTGGAACCACTGGACCGCTGGTTAGGACAGGAGGAAAAAGTCTGGATTTTATTTTTTAAATTTATGATAATCACACACACAGAGAGAGAGGCAGACACACAGGCAGAGGGAGAAGCAGGCTCCATGCAGGGAGCCCGATGTGGGATTCAATCCCAGGTGTCCAGGATCACACCCTGGGCCAAAGGCAGGCGCCAAACCGCTGCGCCACCCAGGGATCCCAGAGTCTGGATTTTAATATAAAGGAGAGGTTCTCAACTCTCAGACTCAGTCACAAATATACTAAATGTCTTGTCATTATCCTACTGTGAATTAATATATAATAAAACCTACCGCTATACCAAAAAAGTCAATATGGTGTTCTAATTGTCCTACAGAGGATAGGTAAAAATATTTAGTGGTAAAATAGTGTGTGTTTGAATATGTAAATGCCCAGGCGCATTGGAGCAGTTGGATGGGAGCCCCTCTTTATAAAACTACCTTGAGTCTAATGGTTGCCAGTGTGCACACAATATAGGTGGGTGGTGAGCCAGCTGCTCAAAGACCGCTAGTTTGCTACTGGTGATGTGACTTTCTGAAATGGTGACCAAGTCTTGGCAAAGTTCCAAACAAAACCAAGTGCAGCTGTCTCTACCTAGACAGTGGCTGTGTCATCGAAAGATGCTATGCATTCTCAAACCTTACAAATAATACAGTGTGTCCATACGTAAAATGGGGTTAGGGTCCAGGCTCAGAAAATTATCAATTTGGTTTTCAAAATAAAGAATAGATTTTATTTTTAGTACTGTTTTAGATTTATAGAATACTTGAGTAAATAGTACATGGAGTTCCATAGGCTCACCCTCCCAACCCCATCACTCAGTTGCCCTTATTATTAACATCTTGCTTTAGTGTGGTATGTTTGTTACAACTGATGAACCATGGATGCCTGGGTGGCTCAGTGGTTGAGAGTCTGCCTTTGTTTCAGGGCGTGGTCCCGGAGTCCTGGGATCGAGTCCTATATCGGGCTTCCCTAGAAGAGCCTGCTTCTCCCTCTGCCCATGTCTCTGCCACTTTCTCTGTGTCTCTCATGAATAAAAGTAAAATCTTCAACAACAAAAACCAAATGATGAACCAATGTCAATACTATTATTAAGTATAGCCCGAAGTTTACATTAAGATTGACTCTGTAGAGCAGCCCGGGTGGCTCAGCAGTTTAGCGCTGCCTTCAGCCCAGGGTGTGATCCTGGAGACCCCGGATCAAGTCCCACGTCTGGCCGCCTGCATGAGCCTGCTTCTCCCTCTGCCTGTGTCTCTGCCTGTGTCTCTGCCTCTCTCTCTCCCTGTGTCTTTCATGAATAAATAAAATCTTTAAAGAAAAAAAAAAGATTGACTGTGTTTATATAGATTTTGACAGGGGATCCCTGCGTAGCTCAGCGGTTTAGCGCCACCTTCTGCCCAGGGCATGATCCTGGAGACGTGGGATCGAGTCCCGCATCGAGCTCACTGCATGGGGTCTGCTTCTGCCTGTCTCTGCCTCTATCTCTCTCTCTCCGTGTCTCTCATGAATAAATAAATAAAATCTTAAAAAAAAGATTTTGACAGATGCATGTCATGTATTCACCATTAGTGTTATACAGAAGAGTTTCACTGCCCTAAATGTCCCTCATACTTCACCTATTCATCTCTCTATCCCCTGAATCCCTGGCAACTATTGATCTTTTTTTTTTCTATTGATCTTTTTAATGTTAAAATAATTTTGCCTTTTCTGATGTCATGTAGTAGGAATCTGACAGACTGTAACCTTTTCAGACTGGATTCTTTCACTCAGCAATATGCAGTTAAGGGTTCTCCATGTCTTTTTGTGGCTCAATAGCTCACCTTTTTAAAAAAAAAGTGTTGAAAAGTACTCTATTATGTGGATTATTACAATTTTTAAAAGATTTTATTTATTTATGAGAGGGAGTGAGAGAGAGGCAGAGACATAGGCAGAGGGAGAAGCAGGCTCCATGCAGGGAGCCTGATGTGGGACTCAATCCCACGACCCTAGGATCACGCCCTTGGCCGAAGGCAGACGCTAAACCACTGAGCCATCCAGGCATCCCCGAGTTTCTTTACTCACTTACCTGTTGCAGGGCATCTTGATTGCTTCCAGTTTTGGGTGATCATGAATAAAGCTGCTGTAAACATTCATGTGCAGGTTTTTGTATGGACATACGTTTCCAACTCAATTGGGTAAGTACCCAGGAGTATAATTCGTGTATTGTGTGGTAAAACTATGTTTATTTTTTTCTAAGTAACTCTCGCAAACTTTCAAATGCCCATACTATTTTGCCTTCTTACCAGCAATGAATGAGCTTTTCCATTGTTCCACATCCTCATCAGCATTTGGTATTGTCAGTATTTTAGATTTGGGTCATTCCAATAGGTATGTGGTGGTATCCTGTTGTTTTTCTCTAATACATATTATGATGAGCATCTTTTCACATGATTATTTTCCATTTGTGGATTTTCTTTGGCTAGGTGTCTGTTCAGATCTTTTACCCACTTATGAAATGTATTGTTTTCTTATTGCTGAGTCTTGCAGGACACCTGGGTGGCTCAGGCCATTAAGCATTGAACTCTTAGGATCCCTGGGTGGCGCAGCGGTTTGGCGCCTGCCTTTGGCCCAGGGTACGATCCTGGAGACCCAGGATCGAATTCCACGTCGGGCTCCCGGTGCATGGAGCCTGCTTCTCCCTCTGCCTGTGTCTCTGCCTCTCTCTCTCTCTCTCTGTGACTATCATAAATAAAAAATTAAAAAAAAAAGCATTGGACTCTTGATTTCCGATCAGGTCATGATCTTAGGGTCGTAAGATTGAACCCTGCCTCTGAGTCTACTTGTCCTCCTCCCTCTGCTTCCCTCCCTGCCACCCTCCACCCCACTTGTGCATGCTCTCTTGCTCTCTCTTTCTCAAGTAAGTAAATAAATAAATAAATACAATCTTTTTTTTGAGATTTTATTTATTTATCCATGACAGACACAGAGAGATGCAGAGAGAGAGGCAGAGACACAAGCAGAGGGAGAAGCAGGCTCCATGCAGGGAGCCCAACGTGGGACTACATACCGGTCTCCAGGATCATGCCCTGGGCTGAAGGCAGCACTAAGCCGCTGAGCCACCCGGACTGCCCTAAATACAAACTTTTAAAAAAAGTTTCTAAGATTATTTGTTTTAAATACAGATTTTTTTTTTTGCAAATATTTCTCCCCAATCTGTGTCTTGTCTCTTCATTCTCTCAACAAATCCCTTCACAGATCAGAAGGTTTTAATTTTATAGAAGTCCATCTTACCAC